TCTCTCTCTCTCTCTGCTCCCTCCCCTCCCCTGCTCACGCTCTGCCTCTCTCTCAAAAATAAACATTATAAATACATAAATAAATAAAATGTCATGAATTTGCTAGAATTTGCTAAAATTCCTAATGAAGAAGAATGATGGAAAATTAAACGAAAAGACTGTTTTTACCTATTAGAAATAAATCTTCATTGTATTTTTATCATTATTTTGATCAGAGCTGGGTCAAAAAGTGGGCTGTAATTGGGCCAGATTATAGTTACTAAATATGATAGGGATTCATTTTAAGCATCTTTAGGAAAAGTATTCTATTTAGTTTACTAATGTAGACCAGGTACTTGGTAAAGTGTCGAATTCAGAGAGGGTACTCAATAAAAATTTCTTGAATAAATAAAGATGAGAAAATATGGACTTACACTGAAATGACTATATAGGACTGGGCATAGAATCAGAATTGATACACTTTAAGTGAGAACTATCAGCTACCTGGATTTTACACTTGTAATCATTGCCTCCAAGTTGTTGGAACACACACATTCTATTCTATTTCCTTTACTGATTATTATGACTAAAGAAAAAAAATCATATTAATGATCTTAACTGTCTTAAGTCAAAGATAAATGTTGTTTGACATCTGTTTTGGAAATTTTTCAAAATGAGTTTTATTCACTGTTCTTTCCTCACAATGATGATAATAATAATGAAATGTTCTATTCTCAATAATATTAACAGAACTTCAATATGGATTTTTCTCAAGAAGGTTCCCCATTGTAATGGCATCCTTTAATCCCATATTTTATTCCTAAGTAACAAACAAAATGAATTTCATGATTATTTACTGCCTATTAGATTTACAGTACTAGCAGGGAGAAGATAAAAGTGAAAATAAAAGATCTGTTTTCTAGGCTGTGAATCAGAACTGCACAGGAAGAACTGTGAGGGTAGCAGATGGAAAGAGAAATTTGAAAGGGAAAAGAAGGGCAAGAAAATAGACTGATATTTTACATACATATTAGAGGAGAGCTACCTATGTTCACATATAAACTAGGAAGACAAATGTGATATTCTGAAAAGAAAACAAATAATTTTTAGAAATTATAGTACATTTTGAGAGAATCTTGTATTTATTTTCCCTCAAGTAGGCTCTATGCCCAGAGCAGAGCCCAACATGGAGCTTGAACTTATGACCCTAAGACCAAGACTCAAGCCATGATCAAGAGTTGAATGCCCAACCAACTGAGCCACCCAGGTGCCCCAAGAGAAATCTTAGAGGAAGATTTAAATAAATGTAGGAGTAGTTTATATATTTAAATAGAAGCAGCATTTGGATAGGGTATAAAAAGGGTTACTGATATTTTTGTGATTATTTTTTTTTTTTTTAAATTTTTTTTTTTTTCAACGTTTATTTTTGGGACAGAGAGAGACAGAGCATGAACGGGGGAGGGGCAGAGAGACAGGGAGACACAGAATCGGAAACAGGCTCCAGGCTCTGAGCCATCAGCCCAGAGCCTGACGCGGGGCTCGAACTCACGGACCGCGAGATCGTGACCTGGCTGAAGTCGGACGCTTAACCGACTGCGCCACCCAGGCGCCCCTATTTTTGTGATTATTATAGCTGATGTGCTTTCTACTTTCTTGCCAGTGATACTGAGAAAAGTAAGTGAAATGGTTCAAAATTAATTAATAGGCTTTTCAGTTCCAAACCAAATGCTCATGTTTTTAGGCATAAAGATATAGTAAAAAATAAATAAACTGTATATAAAAGCTTTGTGAAAAATGAAGTTTGCTTAAAAGTATGACATTATCAAAGTTTTTGTGTCATAATATGCTTAATGGAAAACAACAGTGCTGTACAAATTTCATATAACAAAATCCTTTCATGGTTTATGGCTCTAGAGGTGCTTTCACATACACCATTTCATTTGCTTCTCACAAAAATCAGGTAGATTACTTCACAGACGAAGAAAAAAGGCTCTTATGTACTTGCCTGAAAGTTCAGAAATAGCAGTTGGTCTTGACCCCAGGATTTCACTCTCTCATGTGTATGGTCACATATAACATGGAAACATTCAGTACTCACATAATTTTCAAATGTGTATTTTTACTGCCATTTTCTCACTCTTCTAACCCCACTAGGTTCCTCTGAATCTCCTTCACCTACCTTTTAACTAGTTTTCTTACTTTTTCCTAATACCTTTATCAACCTGTGTATTTTCAAATCTCTATAAGCTCAAGTCCATTTAAAATTAATAATTTTAATTACTTGTTATCAATTAAACACTCAAATTTCTTACTAAGTCCCTGAACAGTAATAAAACATTTTAGCAGGTGAGAAAATTATAGCCAAATGTTCTGTAAAGCATATGCAAAAAACTGTAAAACTGAGTCATTTTCTCATTTGTAGAAATAATTGAACATTTCACCTGTGTCCGAGAAGTTGCCTTTCCTTTGGTATCAGTAGAAAATTTGCCTTTGTTACTAATACGTGCTGCCTGTTCTTTACAGAAATTAATATGTCTATCAGCTGCATTTTCATTAAACCTCCTTTGGCAATATGGACACTGAATATAATCTAAAACAGAAAAAAGAAACAAAATAATAACATAATTCTTAAGTGAAACATAAGGAATTATAAGTTTTTTGTGGACAGTAATTCAATATGTGTAACAAAAGCAATAATATTTGATACACAAAACTTGTTAATCTCCTTATAACCACCCAACCTGACCACTAAACTTGGTAAAGACATTTAAGAAAAAAGTCTGCTAGCATATGGTAAATTCTGATTTTCTCCCAGCTTAGAATCTTATTTGAGGGGAACAATACCCAAAACATAAATCCTTAGTACAAAAGAATGAATAAGTAGAGGAAAAATAGGATTTCTTCTTTGTCTTTATAATATATCATATGTTTCCACAATATATACATATTTTTATACTGGAGACTAAGTTATTAAGTAGTAATAACATATTACATTAAAAATAAATTTTAAAATTTGAGCTCATCTGTTAAAATTTTTCATTTTAATTAGAGTAAAACTGTTAGGCGCCTGGGTAGCTCAGTTGGTTGAGTGTCCAACTCTTGATTTTGGCTCAGGTCATCCCAAGGTCGTGGGATTGAGCTCCACATTGGGCTCCATGCTAAGCATGGAGCCTGCTTGAGATTCTCTCTCTCTCCCCACCTCTGCCCTTCTTCCTTGTTAGCACTCTCTCTCACTAAAAATAATAATAAATAATGATAATAATAGGACAAAACTGTCAAGAAATAGTTGACTTTATACAGTTTTATTTTCTCTTCGAAGTTCCAACAGATAAGATAAAAATATACCTCATTACGATACGATCTGGCCCTTTATAGAAATAGTTTGTTAACCTCTTCACTACAATAAAACGTTAAAAACAATCATATCTAGGTTTTCTACCGGACTCCTTTTAAAAAATATATATATATTATTGAAGTATAGCTGACATACAATGTTACATTAGTTTCAGGTGTACAACACAGTGATTCCATAATTCTGTACGTTACTCAATTCACACCACAGTAAGTGTAATTACCATCTGTCAGCATACAATGTAATTACAATATTATTGACTCTATTTCCCTATGCTGCACTTTTCATCTCCCCGACTTATTTTATAAGACTTCTCTTTACTGAGAAATAAATCTCAATCACAATACTAACACAATTTAATGCAGCTAACTTGTTATATTAAAATAACTACCTCTTCAGACTACTCTAATAGTCAATGTCCAAGTGTCAATTGTGTTATTTTAAATCTTTCAATATCTCAGTATCTTATATGAGGTTGCCAGCATCTTACCTTGCTTTTGGTAACAACAGATAAGCAACTTTTATCTACCTAATGAAGAAAGTATAATAATACATGAAATTAAGGCATAATTTAGGTAAATGAATTTTTATAGTGGTTTCCCTACATAAACATGTACCTCTTAGAAACAACAGTATGTTTTTTTTCCTTCCCAGATAAGAAGATACCAAAGGCATCAGGCAACAAAACAATCTGAATCTTATCAAATGACTACATTTCAATTGATAGTGAGCATCTTCAAATATTTCCTGGTATATTAACATTTGAAAGTGACTATAATAATGTTTCAAATGATATTATAATGCTTTATGTTTAAATAACAGTATTGAAATAAAAAGATAATGAATTTCTATGTTCAACACTGATGTGTCTTTATAAGCCTAAATGTCTGAAAAAATCAGCATTATTTTATAGTTAAACTTTTAAAGATCATGCTTCATCAAGTTCCATAATTATAAATTAACTTTAATAACAATTTAAATTTATAAAAATTCGATCAGTATTTCCTCTCCATATGAACATTTCTGTCAACAATATTCCACATACCAGGATCATAAGAAGGTGGAGGAGGAGGAGGAAGTTTTCCACCCTCTTTAAGTGCCTGATCAAGGCCTTTAGCTGCTCTTATGGTGGCAATGAATTCTTCATGTTTTCTTCTCCAATTAGATGGTTTCTTTGGTGGTTCAGGCTATACAGAAATAAAGAAAAACCCATTTCAAAACATTTTTTTTATTAGTTGAGGGGCGCCTGGATGGGTCAGTTGGTTAAGCATTAATTTTGATTTTGACTCCGGTCATGATCTCAGGGTAGTGAGATGTAGCCCTGCATTGGGCTATGTGCTGAGCATGGGGCCACTTTGGAATTCTCTCTCCCTCTCTCCCTGTCCCTCCCCAACTCGCATTCACACACACACCCTCACTCTTAAAATAAGTAAACATTAAAAAAAATAATAAAAAATAAAAAATAACTGAAATAAAACTTGAGGAAATGCTATGTTATTTTAAATGTTCTCTTATTAGAAGTCCTTAAGTGACTTTCTCCCCAAATTTATAATTTTAAAAATAAACTTCATGTAATTGTATTATATGCGATTTTTAAAATGCAATTGTAATTGTTAAAAACACTGCTAAATTGACTTCTGTAGGTGTTACATCCATTTAAGCTCCACTAACAGGGTAATTTCCCTATTTTCCTATGCTTTCTCCAACAGAGTATGTTATTAAACTTCTATTTTTTTTAACTCACTGGAGAGGTGAAAAATACTTCTCTCTTTGGTTTTAGCTGGCTTTTCTCTTATAAAAAGTGAGTTGAGCATCTTTTCGTATCATTAAGAATCATTTGCACTGCTTTTTTTGTGAACCATTTATGTGCCTAGTCAAATTACCTGTTAGGTTGCTGGTCTTATTTTTAACAATTTCTAATTAACTCTTTATAGGAGACTAGCTTCAGCCCTCCCCTGCAATGTGGCTATCTTATGAGCTTGTTTAAGGCTGTTCTGATATTAGTAATTATTTTTAAAATATAGTTTATTTGTTTCTTTTATGAGTTCCAGATTTGTAGTCATTGTTAGCAAGACCCAACCTCACACTACGGTAAATGGAATTTTCCCATGTTTCCCCGCTGCCCCCCCCCCCAGAATTTTCATGGTTTTACTTAAAATTTTTAAATCTTTCATTCATTTGGAATTTATCATGAGTTATGGTGTGATGTATGGATTCAACTTTATTTCTTGTTTTTAACATGGCTATGCAGCTGTCTGTCTCAGTATCCTTTATTGACTTTTCTCACCATTGAACTGATAACACTTTTATCATATTCTCTTTTGTATTTGGGTATTTCTGAACTTTCTCTTCTGTTCCACTGTTCTGATTATCCTTGTGTTAGTATCAGTGTTTTAAATGTTAAGACTTTATAATACAATACTAGTTTAATACCTGATAGGATAACCCTACTTTAGGCTGCTTCTTTTTCAATCTTTTCTGGTTATTCTTGTTATGTACATTTTCCCATATGAACTTTAGAATCAGCTTGTCTAACTTTTTTAAACTATATTTTAACTGAAAAAATTAAACACTACATTCATAAACAACTTAAGGAACTTAATACTTAATACCTTTATTTTTTTGAAACTGCCTATCCAAAAACATGAGATATTTGCATTTAAAGAAGTGTTTGTGTTTTTCAGTTTTTTTAAAGTATTCTTTGTGGAAGTCTCATACCTTATAAGGCATAATGTATACCTTATACCTTATACCTATATAATTCCTAGATATTTTTTTATTTTGCGTTATTTTTTTATAGAGAGTCTTTTCTTTTTTATGTTTCAAGGGGTTTCTTGACATATGAGACTCAGTAATTTCTGTATATCTCAGAATTCTGTATAATGAGCATTATATCTCATTACTTCACTGGTTTCTCTTACTGTTTATAATCATTTAACAGTTGATTCTCTGGAGTTTTCCAGGCATATCATCTAATAATGCTACTTTTACTTTCTCTTTTCTAATCTCTATACATCTAACATCTAACTGTGTCTGTTATAGCAATTACTATATTGGTTAGAGTTTAATCTTGTTCCTATCTTTAAAGGCCACCTCTAAGTATCTTTCCATATGCATAATGCTGGCACCTGTGCTACAATAGGTTTAGTTGTGTCATATTATTGAAACAGCCAACTATCTCTATTATGTCTTTATTTTTTAAGTCAAGAATATACATTGAATCAGCAAAGTCAAAAGATGGTTCTTTAAAAAGAGTAATAAGCAGGACTAGTAAGGAGAAAAAGAAAACACAAAATACCAAGGAATGGAAAATAGTACACGATAGAGTTCTTATAAACATGAGGAAAAATGAAGATATGTACTATAATGTACCTTATGCTAATAAATTCTACCACATTATATGAACACTATCCTTGACAAACACCACAAAAGGGATACCAGAAGAAACAGGAAATCACAACAGTCTTACATTAATTTTTTTTAATGAATCTATTATTTAAAAACCTCAAGACAACTTCTGGCCCAGATGCCTTTACTGTTGAATTCTTACAGACATTTAAGAAAGAAATAGCATTAGGTGCCTGGGTGGCTCAGCTGTTGAGTGGCCGGCTCTTGATTTCAGCTCAGGTCATGATCTCACAGTTCATAAGATTGAGCCGAGCTCTGTGCTGTCAGGTTCTCTCTCTCCCTCTCTCTCTATCCCTCCCTGCTCATGCTGTCTCTGTGTCTCTCAAAATAAATAAATAATATTAAAAATAATTAAACAAATAAAAAAGAAAAAGAAATAGCATCAATCTTTTAAAACTCTTTCAAAAAATAAAAAAAAACTAAGAGAACAATTTTCTAATTAGGTTTACAAAAGGAACAAAAATTTGATAGAAAGAAAAATGACAAACTCACTTCTCTCGTGAAGATAGATGCAAAACCTTAACTAAATACAAGCAAATTTAGATACTGGAGATAACTGACCCTTTAAAGTTTCTTATTTAATAGTGAAAGGTCTGAATACAACATTCATCTGCTCCATGAGTATAACTCATCTACTGGTAAGTTTTGGTGCTCTCCTCTACCTTTTTTCTCATATCATCCTTGTGTGGTTTATTATTATTCATCATTGAATGAATTAGGTTTTCCTGGTACAGCTATTTACAAGAGGTTATGCAGAGAAGGAGAGGTCCACAGTCCCTTTCCAGGCTACACAAACCAACAGCTCTCTTCTCCTTTGTAGATACAGATGTAAATAAGGCCTCTCCATGATTACAAGACACACCTCTCATTCTTCTCTAAAACAATATGGGTCCAGGAAGGCTACTGCTGCCAGCCATGGTTCCCTCAGTAACCATACTAACCACTTCAAAAAAAATAGGACCTAGCTCTTTAGAGTGGGCCCCTTACCTTCAGAAAGGGTATTTTATTTTCATTAGTGCTTTTGGAGATCTTCTGACATTGGGCTTCTTCAACTCTGTGCCTCTTCTCCCTACTTCCTCCTTTCTGGCTTTTGTTCAAATTAAGCGAGGCTCATTCCACTTCCTGGCCATCCAGGGTCCTGTGCTCACCCCAGTTCCTGCTTTGGCTATAGTAAACAAGGGATATATACTTCCTGATTAGACTCCTCTCACATAAGGAGTCACCTTTAAGGTGAGGAGACCCTTCACCTTTGAGGTGGCAGGTTCCCATTCTGGGCCATGGGTCCCTCAGCAATTTCCTACACTTCCTCTGTGGGTAGGTTCTCCTGGCATTCAGTTGCTTTGGGCAGCCCTTACAAATATTTTGTAGTCTGTGGATTAGTTTCTCCCAAAATGAAGTTTGTATCTGCTTTACTCCACTCTGCTTATGATTTTGTAGGATTTCCTTGATACAGATAGAGAACTACACTATGATGTTTAAATCTTCTAATACACAGATTTTCAAGGGGGAGGAGTTAAGATGGTTGGACAGCATAGAGACCCTCAGCTTGCCTCATCACTGAAACACAGCTAGGTCAGCACCAAACCATTTTGAACACCTAGGAAACTGATCTGAGGATTAACACAACAATCTGGGTACTTGAGCCACAGAACTCGGCAGGGATGCAGTACAGAGAGGTGAACTGGGGGAGAGAAAAGCCATGGAGGGTTGGGAGCTGTTTTTGCAGAGAACAGAGAAAGAGTAAGGGGGGAGAGTGCAGTGCATCGGGATCATGCAAGAAAAGCATTCCTGCAAAAGTAGCTTAAGAGAAAGAGTGAAAACACTCACAGGAGACTGAACAAGAAATTTGTTCTCCATAACCGCTAATGTGAAGAAAGGAGAGGGTTTCAATACCACCAAGATTCCATAAACAGTGGAGTACAAAGTCTGAAGTTCTGGGACTCAGTGCCTGGCAGAGCTTGGGAGGAAGTAGGGCGAATCCCCAGGAGCAGGAAATGGGGTCTGAGGGATTCATGTGCCACATGGGGAGAAATGGTTCCCCCGCTTGGAGTGCATTTGGTAGAGGCCATATGGCTTTCTCACAGGCAAAGGTCCCAGTGGACCCTGGAGAGTAGCCATGTTTCCTGATATTGGGACAAACATGTCAGAGTGTGGTGAAACCTGGCACTGGCTATGCATTGTGATTTGCCATAATCTCTGAACCTCTGCTGCTGTGCGATCACATGAATGTTTTCTGGGGGCAGGCCGGCACCCAGCCATTGTTCAGCAAGACTCTCTGCCAGAGAGTTGGTGCAAGTCCAAGCAGAGGTCTTTAAAGTGTGGGGTTTTGAAACAAACCCTATCCGAGATAAAACTCCAAAGGGAGGTGCTGCCTGGCGAGTGGACAAGTTGGACACGGACAGGGCAGAGGCAAGGAGTGGATGGAGGCCTGAAACAAGGGGTGCTTGATTGCTGGTTGGTGAAGAGTGCCAAGTTCCTGTGTCAGAGACTAGGGAGCTGGGTAAAGCCATTTCCACTTCTCATGCACACAGGCATCACACTGATCTACCCCAGTAAGCCAAGCAGCACAACCTAGTGGAGAACGGAGCTGTTATACCAAGCCCCTCCCAATTGCACCCCCCCCCCCCAAGCACATCCCCTAGAAGACCAGGACAAGTCCCTCCACTTGCTTAGTGTACAGACTATAGAGGGCTTCATAGTTTCAGTTCTAGGGGAAATGGGATGTAACTTCATTCAGGTTTCATTCTGTTTGCTGGTTCATTTATTCATTTTGTTTCTGTTTTTGTTTAAATTGCCTTTTTTTTTCTTTTTTCTTTTCCTTCCTCTTTCTTGGGTACAGAAAGAGAAAAAATTATTTTTATTTTATTTATTTTTTAAAATATTTTATTCTATTTCATTTTATTCTACTTTATTATATAGTTTTTAAAATTTTTTCTTACCTTTTTTTCTTTTCTTTCCCTTTTTTTCTCTATCCTGTCAAGCTTTTTTCAACAAACAGACCAAAACACACCTAGGATCTAGCTCCCTTTATTTGATTTTTTTGTTTTGTTTTTAATTTTTATTTTTTATTTTATTAATTTTGTTTCTGTCCTCCAAAATAACAAAACAAAGTAATTCACCCCAAAAGAAAGGACAGGAAGAAATGACAGCCAGGGGCTTAATCAACATAGATATAAGCAAGATGTCTGAACTAGTCTGAACTAGAATTCAGAACCACAATAATAAGAATACTAGCTGCAGTTGCAAAAAGCATAGAATCCCTTTCTGCAGAGATAAGAGAATAAAGTTTACTCAGGACTAAATTAAAAATGCTATAACCGAGAAGCAATCTCTAATGGATGCCACAACATCAAGGATGGATGAAGCAGAGCTGCAAATCAGCAATATAAAAGATAAAATTATGGAAAATAAGAAAGCAGGGAAAAAGAGGGAAGCAAAGGTAAAAGATCATGATACAAGACTTAGAGAACTCAGTGACTTATTAAAAAGGAATAACATCCAAATCATAGGACTCCCAGAAGATGAAGAGAGAAAAAGGGGCAGAAGGTTTATATGAGCAAATTATAGCAGAATATTTTCCTAATCTGGGGAAGGACACAGACATCAAAATCCAAGAATCACAGAGAATTCCCATTAGGTTCAACAAAACCCACCATCACCAAGGCATATCAAAGTCAAATTCACAAAATACACAGACAAGGAAAGAATTATGAAAACATCAAGGGAAAAAAAGTCTTAATATACTGATTTTCAAACTTTAACATGAATATGTCTCCCCAAGGATTTTGTTAAAATGCAGATTCTAATTCAGTATGTCTGGGTGGGACCTGAGATTCTGCATTTCTAACATGTTCCCAAATAGTGCTGACATTATTGTTCTATAAACCACAATTTTAAGTACCAAGAAATTAAACTACTTAATGTAAAGCAATGGTTTTTACCTTGCTTTTATCTGAGGCTTAATTTTTCACTGTTAGAACCCTTCTCCTTTAAAAAGAAATAGGATAGCTAACATTTATTGAGACATCATCATGGGTAAACTCAATGTAATCCTCATAAGAACCCCACAAGATAGATACTACCATTACAATCACTTCACAGATAAAGAAAAGTATAGATTAAGTAACCTGTCCAACACAATATGGTAAGTAACAGAGTAAGGGTTAAATCCAGGCAGGCTGCTCTTGAGCCAGCTTTCATTTTTATACCCACTATATTACATTGCCTCCAAAACTTTCAATAAACAATAGATAGTTTAACTATCTTAGCTAATTAAAGCCAATATAATCATATATCTGGAAGACATACTAAGAAAAATTTCAAATAATGGTTTATGTACATTATTCAAATTTCACTATTCTTGACTTAAACAGTCACAGACTGAAAAACAAAGATGGACATTAGATTTTTCTATTGTCAAATAATTTTATTGTAAGATTAATTGCCCCACTGGGCAATGTTTTCCTGTAGCACAAGGAGAAGTCATTATTACTGAAGTAGAACCCATACAATGAGGTACTCAAATTTTTACTATTTCACTGAACTATTTAAAACTATGCCCAACAAAGTATGTATGTGATTTATTGTTAGCAATATAACACATCACAGGTAGCATCAAGGAGAGATTATGAAAGGAGATTCACTGCTTTCAAAGAAAACAAGCTGACAATGGCTATACATGGACAGATGAGTAACTGATCAAACTTCCCCAGAAAGCATAAGATCACAATTACTGACAATCAAAATAATCAGTCTCTATTATACTAAGGTATCTATAAATTATAGCTTTACTTTGGATTATACTACTGATATGACACTTAAACTTATACACAGTACCTAAGTTATGTTTGAAGTAATTAACAATGACTTAAAAAGAATATGTGAAAACTTTTAAATTATTTCCAGCCTACAACTAAGCAATTGGCTTTCCAATGCTATAAAAACCTCAGTGTAATAGGTTTTTAGACAGTAGTTGGTTTCCTCTTTGCAGAAGTTTAAAATAAACAATTTTCTGATCATTTATAAACTGAAAACATGAAACAATTCTCCTTAATTTTCAATCTTAGCACAACAGGTAATTACAATTTTTTTTCAATATATATAGCAGGAAAGTCCATACTATTCAAAAAGCTATGTAATTACCCTAGGTTTAAGAGGCTTTACTGTTGGAATATCAGTTCCTTCAGCTCTTTGTCTGCTTGAATCAAAAGTCTTCCGTTTTTTAGTGGCAGTTTTCTGGCAAATAGGTCCATGTTTTTTCTGTCAAGATGAATAAATGCAATGTATCATTTTCTTTTCTATAGAAGGGAATTCTAAAAAACTTTAAATTGCCATTTGAGACCAATTTAAAAACTGGAAGATGAAATAAAAATAAAACATAAATTAAATAAATAAATAAAACATAAATAAGACATATTTTGCTTTAACTAAAATTGTTAAAAAGTATATATGATGCATGCTGTAAGTTATCTTTCTCAAGAAAGTACAATTACTATATACAAGAGAGTATAGAAAAATACTCTTCCAAAATTTTATTAAGTTATTGAATATTCTAGTTTTTATACTGCTGAGAATAAGGTAATGTAACCAAATTGAAGCTATTGAGTGAAAAAAAAATTTCCCTTCATCACTAAATACATGAAAATAGATACTAGAAAAAGAATGTAAACAGAGACTGGATTAGCGTGAGGATCACAAAAAATTAACAGAATAGTAGTAGCCTGGGCTACTAAAATTATTAACATAACAGTAGTATGTTAATGTAAGTTAACACAAAATGATAGAACACAGTGGTCCGATTTCCTTCACAATCATCTATTTCTTCCCTTTTGGAAATCAAGTTCTCTGCCTTTCTTTACCAAGGATTTTTCTTGAGCTGTCTAGCCTTCCACTTCTATAGTTTTGTTTTTTTAAAAAAATACAGCTGGCAGCTCATTCATTTAATCTTTCATGCATTCATTTCGATGGAAGCTCTCATAACTGATTCCAGTTAACCTAATGGATAAATAATCATTTCCCCTCCCCTAAATAAAACACGTTAACAAATGACATCAGTGCACTACATGCACTTTTTTTTACTTCTGTATTTTGATAAACACTGAACAAGCTAGAACTGTTGAACTTTATCTGAGAAAAGAGGAAACCTCAGAACTGGTTGGTTTGGTATCATGGAGCCTCTTATATTTTCAATACACAATCAGAAATAAATTGTTCTATATACGTGTTCTCAGTTTTTCATTTTCAACAAGCACTGTAATTATAGCTATTAGAATAAAAATCTCTTAAATATGAAAAAAAACTAAAAGTGTGGCTAACAGGCAACTTCCTAATAGATGTCTATTCTCACATTGAGTTGTATGTGTCAAAACTATGTAGCGCTTATTCCCAAATAGTGATCGCATTATTTAATTAAATAAATAAATGAGGGCAAAAAGGGCAACTTTTTTCCTATGTAAACTGAGCTGAATGCTTTGAAAATAGTTTGAAAAACAGTGAATTGATAATAGAAACAAGAAAATAAATCACTAAGTGTGGGCTAGATGTTTTTAAAGGACAAAGGAAAAAAAAATTACTATTTATAAGAAGTCCATAGTCTGATGGACATTTTGGATCATTAAATCCTCACTTTGCTTTAAAGAAACAAACTGGAAATAGTAATAGACATTCTGGATTGTGGCAGAACTCTAGCCTGCAGATCCATATTCAAAGAAAACTCTTTATTGTACATCAAAATATTAATAAATGTGTATTTATATTTAAAAGTAAAAATCAAGTATTTTATTAGTACATAGGCATTTTTTCCCTTATTCTCTAGTTGGCTATTTTTATATTAAAATCAATTAAAAGTGCTTATGTTTGTGTACATCAAATATCTAAAAGTATCTAAAGAATACATAATATATTTTAGGTATACTTTTAATTGAAAACAATTTTTCTTCAGAATATTTCAAATATATTTAAAAATTAAGAGAACAGTGTCATGAACTCCTATTTCCTCATCAACAATTACCAACAATTCAGCAATCTTGTCATCTATACTAGCTTTTTTTCCTTAAGTACTTTAAAGCAAATCCCAGACATCATATCATTCTGTCTTTAAATACATTATTATGCATTTCTCAGAGTTTTTGTTTAGTTTTGCTAATATTCCCAGAGAGGAACACTTTAACACAGTAGTTCTGAAGACCAAACTCTAAAAAAAAGAGAACATTCTGGAAGAAAGATCTAGATGAAACTGATATCTTTAACAAAGAACACTGGCCAGTATATCTTTTAATTATTCCACAGAGGTTCTTTCTGTAATGGCTGTCCTGAAGTATCAAACAATTACAGATCTGCCATAACCCAAAGGAAAAAGGTACTCACTAATGCCACTGGAAAGAATGTTCTTCCACAAATCTTGCATGGTAACAATTCTCCAACTTGGACACTTCCATTTTCTGAAACAGAAAAGAATTTTTTGTAGTGTTCATTTTTGAGAGAGAGATAGAGTGCGAGTGGAGGAGAGGCAGAGAGAGAGAAACAGAATCAGAAACAGGCTCCAGGCTCTGAGCTGTCAGCACAGAGCTCCATGCGGGGCTCGAACCCATGAACCGTGAGATCATGACCTGAGCTAAAGTCAGACACTTAACTGACTGAGTAGCCATCTAGGCACCCTTAGAAAAGAATTCAATCAGTAAATTCTTTGCTCAAATTGTGAAAGTTTCAAATTTCAATGTCTTCCCTTGGTTTCATGTGCAAGTTGTGAATTCTTGTGGAAAATGACTTGTTTCATTTTGGAATAAACAATATTATTGATTAAAATGGGCACAAGAGGGGCGCCTGGGTGGCACAGTCGGTTAAGCGTCCGACTTCAGCCAGGTCACGATCTCGCGCTCCGTGAGTTCGAGCCCCGCGTCGGGCTCTGGGCTGATGGCTCAGAGCCTGGAGCCTGTTTCCGATTCTGTGTCTCCCTCTCTCTCTGCCCCTCCCCCGTTCATGCTCTGTCTCTCTCTGTCCCCAAAATAAATAAACGTTGAAAAAAAAAATTAAAAAAAAAAAAAATGGGCACAAGATAACCACAAGTTATCAGTGGTCAAAAAGGCCATGCCAAATACTGAAGTCATGATTTAAGGATAACCAAATACATATTGCTAGAAATATGTAGTTTTCTTTAATTTTAACCAAACCAATTTGTTATATTCTCTGAACTTATAGGCTATCTCTCCTGTAAATTACCAAACGTTAAAAACCAAGTTTATCTTGGGGTGCCTGGGTGGCTCAGCTGGTTAAGTGTCTGATTCTTGATTTTGGCTCAGGTCATGATCTCAGGGTTTTGTGAGTTCGAGTTCTGTATGCTGACCGCACAAAGCCGGCTTGGGATTCTCCCTCTCTCTCCGCCCCTCCTCTGCTCGTACTCTCTGTCTCTCTCAAAATAAGTAAACAAACCTTAAAAAAAAGTTTACCTTAAGGTTAATAATACGTATTATTAATCCTCAAAGCATTAAGATATAACATTGGTGATCAGTGAGGTGGCTTCCTGAGACGATCTAAGGAGTCTAAGATAAAAAGAACCTTGTTCTGTTTAACACCGGACAACAGGAAGTATAATGCTTTAAAGAAAAAATCATCTAGTTACTATGCTGCCCTCATTATATGAATTGTTCATTATTTTATACATACAATATTATATTAGGATTCAATGGAGATATTACAATTGAGATATTCTGACAATTCATTAAATAAGGAACAAGTAGCTGAGACTTTTACTCAATCAAAACTTAATACATCTATCACGCATTTTCATACAACACATTTTGTTACTAAGTTGATTTAAAAAAAAACAACTACATTCTTTGGAATTCTACATAGCTGAGTCAATTTGTCATTTTATTTTCTAGCCAATCATCAAACCTAAATTTATTTACATATCTGTAATTTTCTAAAAATGATACTTGAACCTGTATCTTAAACATATTTTCTGCTGAATATTTTACTGATTGTTTTATCACATGAAAGACAAATAGAAGCCACTTTGTTTTAGAAGTAACCTAAATAAGTTCATGAAAAAAGTACAATTAGGACTTCATATAATTTATTCCAAAATATTTAGTGAGTTCACAGAAAACTAATAGAAGAATCAAAATAGAAATTTTTGAGAATACAATCAAACAGTACCAGAAAAACTGCTGTGTTCTCTCATTCTCTTAACACTCCACTACCTTATTTTAATTGTAGACAGTGACTATTTGTCATCTGAGATGGAGGCAATGTCTCTATGGTGGCAGTTAAGCAGTGGGCACTACAAAGGCAAAGCTAAGATTTGCATGATTTGTCCTTCTCCAATACCACATGTTAGGTTATTTAGGGAGAGCAACCTCATTTATAGGGACTTAATTCCACTATCTAAAAAGTTGAGGCAGTTGCTAGATAGAATCCATTACATACATTAAGATAAGCATGTCTTCATAATGATGGTCAAAGTGATATCACATGATGCATAATCTATTAAGCTGCTTATTTATAGTTTTCATATACTCTTAAATTCTATGCAATGATTTAAAAATTCATTAATACAAAATGTTAAAAAGAATCACATATTTTATTTGCTTAAAAGTATATTTCAGTATCTCCTTGTTAAATAGATGACAAAGCAAAATTTTATAAAAATTAACTATTGAGAAAAATAAATTCAATCCATGGAAATAATGTGAGTGCCTGTGTGAGCACCCACAACTTGCCAAGCACATATCAAGCCATAGTGACACAGCATGAAATAACAAAATCACTGTTCTATAAAGCTAACAGTCTACATGATTTACTTCTTCACTGTATCTAAGAACCAAATCATCTCCCATTTTTTAATGTAATAGCAACTACAATACTAACATATAATAAAATCCAACTCCTGGGATTAATTACAAGTTATCAAATATGTTCAAATTGTCTTTAAAGGAAAAATCTTTATCTCTAAAAGGTATAAAAAAGAGGAAACTGCATTAAAGAGAAAGGATTTAAAAACAATTATCCTGAAGAAAAAAAAATAAGTCATTACTTCATTCAAAATAAATAAAAATGTAAAGTTATAATTTCTTCCCTCTTATATTAGCTGGTCATGGAGGATTGCCCTATAATTCACAAAATATAACACATGTATGTATGTTAGTGTCAACACCGCCTGCTACCAGCAAGTCATGATAAGCAGCTTAGATTCAGTCACAAAGCCAAATTTTGTTGTAACGGTATTCATTAAAAGATATGACAGCTTAGCAGAAAAAGTACTGGTCCCAGCTCTATCACATAGAACAGTGACTCCCTGGGCACCTAAGATTAAGCTTCCTCTTGTATAAAATGAGAAAGTTAGGTTAAATGGCCTACACGGCCCCTTCTATCTCTAATATATCATAGTAAATATAGTATATTCATCTAATAAAATCTATCTTAAGACCACATTAGGAAGAAAAGCACATGGATGATAACATATCTCTCTTACCAGTATTAAATTAAAAAAAAAATAGTTATATGTAAGGATGATTAAACCAACTGACCATTGCAGATGGTGGAATGAATGCTTCAGGTAGCATGTAGAATGTTGAGAAAATCACTTCCATTTGTCTACATACAGAACTGAGAATCTACAAGGAACTATTGCAAAGAACATGATGTCTCTCTCCTTGCTGGAAATGTCTTCAAGAAGAAAATGTATGACTAATCATATAAATAGCTTCAGTTTAAAATTTGTTAAATGAGGATATTATCTGTTCAATCTACCTTATAATTTAAGGGATCATCTAAGATGGTATATATAAAAATGCTTCACAATCAATGAAATAAAAAAATACTACTCTGCAGCGCATGCGGGCAAACTCCACTAATCTGTCCTGAGTGGCAAAAGCTAGCAAATTGTGAGGCTTATAAAAATATAGTAGAGATGATATGCAGAGAGTTGACTATTGTAGCAGAGAGCAAGCACTGTTGAAAGAATCATTCAAACTAAGGACAAAAGCAAGTAAATAAAGTACTTTAATATTCTAAAACTCTCAAGAAGGTAACCTCTTATAAAAGTTATCACAAACACAATGTTGATTCTGTTATGCATTACCATATTTAGCAATTTCAAACGTGCACCATAAAGCTTGAAACTGTATCTTCATATAATGCTGTTACATATGTATATGTGTGTGTATATATATATATACACACACATATACATATGTAACTACAGACACATATATATATCATATAAAGATGTGATATATATGTATAAGTATGATATACATATTATATATTATATGATAAATATATAGATATATAGACATGTGAAATAATATATTGTTACATAAGACAGTTATGACATTCTAAAATGTACATATTTAAGAAATAGGAAAGAATATTTTCAAAAGAAAAGAAGTCTTGAAATTCAGAACAGTTCTGGCCTCTGTGTAGCATGTCTATTTCCTCACCTCTGGTCACTGTTCATCTGAAGGCAATCTTTAAAACCTTCCTTTTGCAGCACATGGCATCTGTTACACACCACCTTCTTCCAACAATTCTTTTCAAAATTTAATTACTTCCAGGTCAATAATCTCTAGTATCTCCAAGATTTTTCCCGTTGAGCCCATCCTAGATTTCAACATTTCAACATTCACACTTAACCTACTCACACACTCACACTTAACCTACTCACTCACCCTCCACTCCTCTTTAGTCCATCCCTCCAGTTCAGCAAAAACAACCACTGTTGAAACAATTTAGTAAAGGTCCACATTTGACTCTTAAATGCCCAAGCACCTTCTCTAACCACACATTTCTACCTTCTACCTCTCTCTAAAGCACTTTCTTGATCTCAGAGTGATTTGAATTTTCTTGATAACCCATCTCTGGTTGCACTTCCCTTCCTACTCAGTCTGAACCTGACTAGTCATTTCCATTTTGACCAATCACCCTCAAATCCCTTGCTCCAGGGTCACATGTTTGGAAAATGCCACATTGAATATATGGGTATTCTTAGGGCAGAACTTCCTCAGTCTTAAAAAAGAGATTAGTATATTATTATTTCCTCAACGGAAATCCTTTCTCATCAAGGAGATATTTTAGGACCAATGTCCTGAGTAGCACATTTTTTTTGGAACACTGGCTTACATTTACTGACCAGCTCCTCTCTACTTCCCTTTCTCTCCCTATCTGAATTGCAGGCAAATTTTATCAGGCCTAAACTCTATATTAAAATAGATCAATTTGTTGATCCACAAGTATTTGTTGAGCACCTGGCATGACACAGGAACTGTTCTATGAGGTAAACAAACACAGATGAACTTACAGAGCTTCTAGTCTTCTAACAGGGAAAAAATAAAAGCAATGAAATATATAAAATGTCAGGTGGTGATAAGCACAATGTAGAAAAACAGCAGAGTAAGGAGAGAGAAGACAGTCACAGTGCTATGTGTGTTTGAAAGTGGGC